CGGGAAGGGGCGTGGCGTGCGGAAAGGGGCGTGGTATGCAGGGAGCACGGGGGCGTGGCGTGCGGAAAGGGGCGTGGTATGCAGGGAGCACGGGAAGGGGCGCGGCGTGCGGAAAGGGGCGTGGCGCGCAGCGTGTGGGGCGGGAGGGAGGACAGACAGGCGCACAGGTTGGGGGCTGCAAGCCCGCTGTAGCTTTATTCGGGGGTGGTGGGCGCAGTCCCGGCTCAGCGTCAGATGGTCTCCAGGCGCTGCTCTTGCTGCAAGGCCCGCAGCCTCTGCTGGCGGCTCATCGCCAGCTCCCTCCACTGCTGCGCTTCCAGCTTCTCCTGGGGGGACGATCACCGCTCACTCCACCGACTGGGGCGGGTTCTCCCCCGGATGTCCAACGCCCGCCACCGCTCTCCCGGGTTGCCACTTCATGCCACGCGCTCCACCAACTCGGCGGACCCTTTCCGGGTGTCCACCGTCTGCCACCCCTCCCCCGGGGTCACATTGACTGCCTCCTCTCCCCTAGGTCCCCATCGTCCGCCTACCCCTCATCCGGGTCTCCAGTGACCGCCGCCCCTCCCCCGGGTCCCCTACCTGCCTTTCCAGGGACTCAGAGCCACCCTCACTCAGGTCTGCCCGTCCGCCCCTCCCTGGGGTCCTCGCCGCCCGCCTGTCCCTCCCCGGGGTCCCCACTGCCTGCACACCTTCCGCGTCCTCCCACCTGCTCACCCCACCCAGCACTCCTCACCCCGGCACCCAGCATCCCGCCTGGCCCTGCACCCCACTCGCCACCTCGCGCTCCCCGCCCCGCAGCGCCCCTGCGCTCTGCTCACCCGCAGTCTGGGGCGCGCGGCCCGAGGCGCCAGGGCGCGCAACGCAGCCACCTGCCTCCGGCGCTCGGCGGTCCTCTCGGCGATGCGGCGCCGCAGCTCCAGCACGCGCTCGTCCTGGGAGCCTGGGGCCGTCGTCGGTCTCTTCTTCTCCTCCAACCTGGAGCGAGACAGAGCGGCCGGCCGTGGGGCCCAGAGCTGGGGGCCGCAGTGCCCGCTCCAGGAGACCCCCTCTTCCCTAGGCTAAGGTGGAAGGGTGTGAGGACTGAGGGGAGGTCGTCAGGAAAGCTGAAGGTTCCACCCAGGAACCTGCGGTGCTGGGCTCATGCATGGCTGGGCTGGGGCCTCCAGACACTCTGCCTTTTCCTTGTTTTTACTCAAGATGTAAACTTAAAAAGAGATTACACATTTGGCTCCAGATTATGACAAATGGACAATGAGCATAAAGCGAGTCACAAGATTTTTTGTTTGTTTGCCAATCACGTGAAAGTTATGTTTATATGATACTATAGGATCTGACTGGTACAGGAGGAGATTGTCCCTCCTTCTTCAGCAGGGCATCTGGTGGATTTGAACCACATACCTCTGGGATTGCAGTGCAGCTTCTTGCCTCTAGGCCACCAGAGCTCGCCAGAATGAGCTCAATTTAACAGTGAGATTAGGCAGTCCTCTGAGGATGGACCAACATGCCATATTTTCATGATCCTGTCCATCCATATGACAAAGTCAAACTCAAAGGCTAGGAAAGCCATTTTGAATAGTTCACCACAATACCACATTAACCTCTCAGGAATCAATTTTTGTGCTGTGGATGTTTTGGATGGAGACTTTCCTCCCTGGCGCAGTTAATGGGGATCAGATGCAAGTGCCTCCACACCACCTGCACTCTGATTCCAGCACCTGATGGTAACCACCCGATGAGTGCCAAAAAGACCAACAGGACGTCTTGGAAAATGTAGGGCCAGAGTGCTCCTTGCAGGGAAAGATGGAGAAGCTTCATCTCACATACTGTGGGCACATTGCTAGCCTTGGAGAGGCTCAGAAAGGTGGAGAGTTAGTGAAAGAGAGGAAGACCCTCATCAAAATGAATTCAGTGACTGAGGCAGTGGGTGCAAGGGTGTCAGGACTGTGAGGTAGGGGCAGGATAGGACAGGGTTTAGATCTGGTGATCACAGAGTTGCTAGGAGTTATACTTGACCCAATGGCACCTAACAACCCAGAGCGCTGTGGAAGCCCCAGTGCCGCTGAGGATCCAGCCTCAGAAATGGCACATACAGTCACTTCCACGTCAGTGGCACGACTGACCAAGGCCAGCCAGATTCTGGCTGGGGGAAACAGATGCTCTCCTTCACGGGAGAGAATATAAAGTGATGGGGCAAGGGGCATGGACACAGGAGGGACCTTTGTCATCTGCTCCATTAGACTTGCTTTCAGACAGCCATCTCTAGGGAATGGCCAAGGCCTGTCCCTAGCCAGATCCGAAAGGATCAAGACATCCCAGATGCGGGGGACCCAGCGCCAAGTAGCTGCCCTGGCTCAGGCCGTGGTTGGGGGCCTTGCTGACTGCCTGCTGCTCAGCTGTCACTTGTGCGTCAATTCTTCTTCTGTCATCTTTATTAATTGTCCAGCTCTCAGCAAATGATCAGAAAGACCATGGCCTGAATCAGACGCACCTTAGTCCCCAAACTGACATCCTTACCCCTCAAGAATTTAAAGAGGTCCTTGACTGCAGACTTCCCCGGAGCAATATGTCTCCTGATTTTTAGTTGTTAAATTTAAACTCCAGATGAGCACACTTATTTAGCAAGTCCTCGACAAGATGGACTGCAGCAGTGGCCTCTAGTGTGGCAGGGATGAGAACGGCACAGGCAGACGAGGTGCAAATACGTCGTTCGTAGGGTCTCCAGCTATGAGTTGTACTCGAAGGCACCTAACAGGAAGATGAATGGGCACACCGATGTATCAATGAGATCAAGAATGTCAGAGATGAGGAGGAGGCACAGGACAGGGTCGCTGTGAGTCTCAGTAACTTGATGGCATGGACCCACTGGCTGCACTGCCACAGAGCCACGGGCAGGAGGGCGTGGTGGCAGGAGGCGGGGTGTGCTCAGAGGTGGCGGCGGGAGCACAGGGGGCATTGCATGCCGGAAGGGGCGTGGCGCACGGGAAGGGGCGTGGCGTGCGGAAAGGGGCGTGGTATGCAGGGAGCACGGGGGCGTGGCGTGCGGAAAGGGG